AAGGTTTTGGGAAAAACGTTGTTACGTGCCTACGAGGAAAATATTATATCAAGAAACTTACCGTCAGAAAGATGATTGCTAAATAAAAAGAGCTTTTGTATCAACACCCACTTAAAGGTATTACAACGGAAAGAAAATAGCTCTGGCAAATAAAACAGACCTAAGTAGATGAAATATGATGGAGTTTTGTACACGTTTAAAGTTTCCGTTCTCTAAAAACCTAGAGTCTGACAGAAAAAGGTTGCAACAGGAAAACATCACATTGTACTGGCTCTCGTGATCAGCAAATCTTTTCTCGTGAAAATACAACAGTCATCTTCCCAGACCACTTTCGTGTTCAGAGCGGAAGACTATCAACTATCATTTACATCCAAAGGGTTACGTTGACACTAACATGGTTGGGCACGTTAGCGGAAGTAAAATGGAAATGAAACATGATAGTAAAAAGGGAATTCCGTTCATTTAACGATCAATTAAAGCAATGAAACACCGTGAACAACTATGAAAACTCTTTAGTAGCATCAGACAATATGCAACATAACGGCTCCGCCGTATACATGACGACTTTAAAGCGACCAAAGTGTGTAATTATGCGAACCGCACTCCACTGCGGTTCGTGCATATGTATGAGCATTGTTTTCCACTGTCACATGACTTTTTGCGTCACGTGCACTGTTGTCGATCGGCAAAGGGAAAAAAACCGGTTCAACTACGGATGTGTAGAACATTTGACGCATATGTAATGAATTACACACCTTGATCGCGTTAAGTCCTAATGCAGGAATTTAGCCAAAGACATCTGCTTGGTAACCTGAGGACTCCCCGATCTTCGATGCCCAGTAAGCACCTTATAGGGTCAATACAGTAGTTTATGCAAGTAACCTTTTTTTTTCACTAATTCAAATAAGAGTGCCGCTAAGCCCCGGAAAAATTGAGCTTTAATTGCTTGTAGAATTGCGGGGTTTTATTGGATTGCAATAATTCTATCACTGTGATGATCAAGAAGACAAGGAAATTTCTTCTGTAGAAAAACATTTGGGGATTAGTGGCACTCCAGAGAGTGTATAATCTCTTGTATCACTTTAAAGTTATTATATAGCTTCCTTGTTGGATTCCTTGTTGTTCTGTGTTGTCAGTAATTACATTATTTAACTACTCTAAAGGAAATTTTGAAAAATGCATTTGTGAAATTGAGATACTGGAATGGACTTCTATCAGTAGAGGCAGTTATTACGTATTTCCAAATACTGGGTGACTGCGCGGGAATCCCCTCACCTTATGCAATTAACTTCACTCGCTCTCAAAAAAGAACAGTTGCCGCATTCTTTAGATCTTTTCAATTACACAAGAACAATCATTTGGCGACACAAAATTATTTTCATTATTTTTCATCCCAACCTTCGCAAAAGAAGGAAGTTCATTCGTCGCTAAGGTAAACGAGGAAGATGTATGATTATCTCACAGTTAGAAAAGGGGGCGTTGCAAAATTACAGCTTGTTCTAAAAATGCCTTGTCCAATGGACTCTATAAAAGGTTGACTTGTAGTTAGACTTGATAAGTATTTCATCAACTTCTTCGACATCGCAACTAACAAAGTCATCATAGGATCCAGTGCCACGTTGCAAACAGACCGCTGAAAATGTTTAAACAGTTTAAGGTATGTCTTTTGCATTCTAGACGTTTTACTCCACAAGACGCATGTAATCGTCAATCTCACGAAATTGCGGATGGAGTGACCCACATAAATTCAGTCAAAGAGGACAGTGAAATATCACGCTAAGTGAAAACCAGAAACTGCATCGTGAAACTTTTTGTGCTTTTCACTTTCATGAGAAGACTGAGCACTCTTACCTGTGAATTCGTGCCTACTTCTTCCTTGGTTATCAAGAATAAGCGTGTTTTCTAAATTAAAAAAAAAAGGAGAGATAAAAATGTTCGTTTTGTTAAATTACGGTTTTTTTTGTAACGACCACTCTCTTCAGCAATCGTTTCCTGTAACCGGGCACTATTTGATTACTGATTTTGTTTCTCAGTCGAGTACTCTTTCAAAATCTCTCTCCTAGACTATCGATAGTCTACGACTTTAGAGGCGACGACCATTTCACGGTCAGAAAATTGACACATTCTAAAGTGATATGTCTAACCGTAAGCGAGCACCAACAAAACTAAAAAAGGCGCAGTGCTATTCAGTGGCGAAAACCACTGATTAACGACTATATAAGCTTTATTATTACACATATTTAAGCAATTGAGCATTCTGGATTTCGAGGGAAATTTTTTTTCTCACAAAACCTGATTTTGAGTGCAGTAAAATAAAAATGAATAAACAAGTGGCGCACCATAGAGTGTTATCATACAGCAGTTCTCCTCATCTCCATCTTTATTTTTCTATCAGTTCCTTGCTCCAATCCTGGTGGTTTATATCAGTACCACCATGGCATACCCTGCTAGCGCAAGCTATTACCAACAAGTCCTATCAGAAGAACATCCGAATGATGATAACCAAATCCATGCCGTAAATCCGGCTGACATCAAACACGATAGTACAAACATCAGCAGTCTGCAGCTATCATTCAAGCATGAGCATGATAGAAAAGAACGCCAAGTATTAGGATGTCAGATGGGCACAGAAATGAAACCCTGTGGCAGTCTTATGGTTGTGACAGTCAAGTGTAGAAAACAAAGTGTGACTTGTGTTGAAAGAGGAGTCATTTCACCAACTTGTATACCTCAAAAAACCTACTATCAAGAGTGCGGTAAAGCATTTCTTACAGCCTGTTTATGCAAATCTTAAACAAGAATGAACAGTTACATAGTGTTACAAAACTATTTTAAGAGATCTTCCGAATAAATTTAATATGCTATAAATGTCGTTGTCCTACTTGAATTTAAAATAGTTATTGCTAATTAATAATAGATAACCTAATTTTTAAAGCCTTGATTATTACGTACTATTTATAAGTAAAGACTACACAACACTTCCTAATGAAATAAATATTTCGTGTCTGTAACATTGTACTTTAATTAAATTCGTTTTTTCCTTTTATTTAATAAAGTTGATAAACGATATTTGTAGAAGTAAGCTTTGCCTTTATGAAGAAAATAAAAAATTTAAGTTATTACATCTTATCTATGACCTGATATTAACTGTTATTGCATATGCACATCGAAATGATTGCGCTTCACAATAAATCCAAATTTTAGAGAGAAAATGAAAATGGAATGAAAATGTTTTTTGGGTGTTTAGATGACTACTCTTGTTAGATAGCTACTCTTGTTTTTGCGTGACATCCGAAGAAGCCGTTTTACCAATCATATTTAACGAGTAGAAAAGGCAAGGACCTCAAGAAGTATGGGAATCCCTTAAGTTTATGTAATCTGATAAAAATTTGAGGGATAATAAGCGTCGGTCGAGCAAATAAGCAAAACAAACATTCTAGTGTAAGGCGAATGATTCAGCATTGTAAGCCAACTTAAAAGATTACCATTTGAGACGTTTAACGTGAAAGAGGAAGTTCATAACGCTAGCGGGAAAACATGGAACATTTAGTTTTCATTTGATGGTCCATTGAACTGTAACTTTCATGCTATTATAAAAATTCAGTAAGGAATCAGATGGCTCTGAATTCTCTGATGCCATAAGTAAACCATAAGGAAAAAGGTGTCTGATATTTGGAAGGCAAACCAAGTGGAAACGTAGTATCAACAGCTTGACCTTAAATCAACAAATTCTCTTCACGACGTTGCCACGATAACCTTTTCCTACTGCCTTCTTGTCAAAAGCGTGCTTGTTTTTTTCCGCCTTCAATTCGCACCTTATGGATGACGTTAACGAAGTTTTTACACAGTTTTTTGAAATTATACTGAAAAAAAATATGAACTAATAAGCAGCTCTGTACGCACTGAAAAAATAAAAACTTGTTTTCATATCCCATGCATTTTGTCAAACTTCATAAGGGAATTTCTATAATGTTCGGTAAACAAGGTTGCTTATCTACTAATCGCAAATAATATGTCTCCTATTTTCGACCTCTACTCATAGAGTAAAGCGAGCGGAAAGTATTTGTAGGGTGTCACTATGGTGTTGTACATGCGTGACATTTTTCGGACGTAACCTGTGATGTGTTTGGGGGCCCCAGATTTAGTACTAATCGCCTCAAGACTATAATATAGCTTTTGGCTGTAAAATATTTCCCGAGGTCTAACGTAGCATTCTAAACATACGTATTTCATTGAGTCTCCAACAGAGTTGTTACTACTCTTTTCAAATTATATACGCACTAAACTTTTCTCCAACTGAGGAGGAAAACATTTTGCCCGCGCAGGGATTAAATGGATTGTTCGCTATAGCGGCATCATGATGCAGCGACAATGCAATACAGACAGGTAGAGGATATGAAACCAAGACTGTTGGGAATCTCCCGTTGAGACTCAGCAAGCAGACGCCTTACGTCATTGGCTAACAAAATCAGCAGTTTTCTAGTGTAACCTTCGCTGAAAGGAAGTTCATATCGTTGTTGACGTGGACGACGAAGGGACAGTCTCGTGATATAGATAACAAAAAATACATCGCCAAATTACACCTTTGCAAAGCAAGTTGGCCTCAACATCAGCAGCAAGAAAAACGAAATTATGGCGCTGAATATTATCAACACACGCCCAATCCAGATTGACAATGAAGGACTTCCTTACGCTGACAGATTTATCTATCCCGGCAGCATCATGATAGAGATGGAGGAACTGACTTGGACATCCAGAGCCGACTCAATATGATGAATAAAGTATAGCACTCCTTCACTTACAGTACTCGTATTAAGCTGAACTTCTATCACAGCTGCGTCCTGACAACTCTCCTGTATACTTTAGAATGTTGGCACTTGACGGAGTAGGATTTATCAAAAACTCTCTAAATTTCACACCGTGAGCCTTCGACGTATCCTACGCATTTTCTTGCGCAATGTCATCTCAGATAAAGATCTCTTGGAACGATGCGGAACTGAACCAATGGCTGTCATTCTGACGAGGAAACGCTGGTAGGTGGATTAGACACGTCACCAGCCAAGGAGCCTCTATCGCAAAAACCGCTCTACACAGGACAAACGCACGAGGAGCTGCCCAGAGAACAACTGGTGGCGGACAGTAGAGAAAGAAATTAAGGAGATGGGGAAGACCTGGGGAGGCATCAAGCTCATGGCGAAGGACCAGCAGATGTGGAGGGAGCACGTTGTTGCCTTATATGCCTCTTAGGTGTAAAGGACATGAGTGAGTTGAGTTCGTTAAAAGGAAATTTATATCGTTGTAGCCGTGGAATACGAAAGGCTATGATATGAATAAGAAAGAGGACGTTGCCAAATCAGGGCCTAACATTGAGCTCAAAGTTTTTCTCCAATACCTTCTGATTAGTTACTCTATTTTTGTATTCAGGTTGGTTTTCTGAGAATGACCAATCCTGTCGGCTGTCCATAAAACACGAAATGAAAGTTGGTTTAGCCAATTATCGCACAAAAAATCTTCGACATCGAACATGAGACAGCTAGAAAAGTACGTTAAGTACTTTTATATGTTATTCCAGAAACAAATTTTCGTGCGAAATCTCAGTAAATTGAACACCTTTTTGAGTTTTGGGTAGAAAACATTAAACAGTATTGTTTTAACCCTTATGGATTTAGAGGGAAACCGCGTTTACGCCTTGTTTTTTTAAGCTTATTCAAAAAGGTAAATAAGTGAGTAATGTTGTAAACATCTTGATTAATTCCTTATTGTTTCTTTTTTCAATACACACATAAAAATAAATAAGTAAAGTTGTAAATACTTTGATTATTTTCATACTATTATCATTGTAATATACGAATTATGATATGCATCTTCGCCAATCAAGTTTACCTGTCTGAATGTCAAAGTGATGATGAATCAACAGAAATTAAATTCACAATTAGTTTACAAACTTATATTGGCAAGAAACGGCGAAATAAATTGAAGCAAGAGATGTTATGATAGCATCTGTCCGTAAAAGAAAAACTGAATAGCTCACTTGTTTCTAGTGAACGCAATTTTTAGGCTCTGGGAGAAATGTAAAATTTATCTCTCTGTTATTTCATTTGCTTTAATAGTTTTAATTTTCGAAATGGTGAAGCTCGAGGAAGGAAAAGAGAGTTTTACTTGGTGAAAGCATCAGCGTACAATAGAAAATAAAATGACTTCCGGGAAAGTGTTTCCCTCATTTTCTCATGCATGTTCTTAATTCTTTTCCTCGGGTGTTTTCGACATAAAAACATGGCTCTGTTAAATCAGTTTGACAATAGTGAATAGCATAAATACCACCAAACAAATGATATATATCACAAATCTGTCAAATATAACTTATAATTGAGACATGTCTAGACTAGAACACGACTTCATCTTTTGGATGAATGTTTACAGAATGATCGTACCCAGAAACCCGTGAAGAATCTTTCCCGATCACAACAAGAGAGTTTGAATTGGGAAGGGAAGAAGGAACGAAGCCGGCAAAGGTTATGTAAAGGATGGCTTATTTGTTACCGGATCTGTTTGGGTTAAGCGAAAGTGTCTTGACCACGCAACTATTGACAGTAACGGGAATCCCCATGTCTTACGTAAGTTCTGAGCTAATGCAAAATCCAAGTCATGCCGCATTCTTGTTAACTTAGTAATGACATAACAATTCAGGGTCTGTAGAGAATGACCTTGAACTATTAGCCAACAGGATGAGAGAAAACATTTTTTTGTCCTGTATACTTGTCACATTTTGCGTCGGGCTTTTAATTAGCTTTTCTGCAAGCTGAGGTTACATGAAGATCATCTCTGCAGAAACATATCAAGACTCGTCAGTCAAATCTACAAACTCTCGTGAGCATGTTATATCCTCTATCTTAGTTTACTTGTCTCCGAACTTAACACAGTCACTTGAATGCTGTGGTAGCATTAAAAACAGTCATGTAAAATTTGATATCCACTATAAATCAAAACCAAATGTAACTTTAGGAGTGAAATTACATGTGCCACCAATGTGCGCCGCATTGATGGCAAAGAACTGAAGAGGATGTTGTTACATCATAGCTGTTTGACCACGTGGTTATTCACCACGATGAATAACCACAACCTTTTCTACGAGATGAAAACAAGTTTTTTTTTTCAGTACATACAGAGCTGCTCATTAGGACATAATTTTTTATTTGAAAAAGTATAATATCAGAAAACTGTAGAAAACCCTGTTAACGTCATCCATGAGGTACGAATTAAAAGCGTACAAAAAAAGCACGCATTCGACAATAAAGCAGCAGGAAAGTTTTTTATTGATTTAAGGTCAAGCTGTTAATACCACGTTTCCACTTGGTATGCCTTCCAAATATCAGACACCTTTTTCATTGTGGTTTACTTATGGCTTCAGAGAATTCAGAGCCTTATGATTTCCAACTGAATTTTTATAATAGCATGATAGTTACAGCTCTATGGACCATCAAATAAAAACCAAATATTCCATGTTTTCCCGTTAGCGTTATTGACTTCCTCTTTTATGTTAAGCTTCTCAAATGGTAATTGTTTAAGTTGGCTTACAATGCTGAATCATTCGCCTTAGACTAGAATGTTTGTTTTGCTTATTTGCTCGAGCGATGCTTATTAGAGGGTCTGAATGAGGGTACTTCGATAACACTAAACACTTATTTTTTTGACTGTATAACATTAAACAGTTAATTTTTTGCCATTTTAACACTAACATTAAAAAATTCGTTGAAACAAACCACGCCCTAAAATGGGAAATATCTATGTTGGGCCTATGTTTATTGTATCAAGGAGGTTTTTTCAGCCATTTTCCAACAATTCGGGATTATTTCAAGACTTCCGAAGAGTGAGGAAGATATCCGAAAACTGTCAAGGATGTCTGAAGGCTGGCGAAGATGTCCGAACACTGCCGAAGATGTCCACTGAGACTGCCAAAGATGTCCTCAGACTTATGACCGACGATATTTGAAGACTACCGCAGATTTGGATTGTACAACTCCTAACAATTCTCCCCTTAAAGCGCTTTTACAGCGAGGATACACCAACCGTGACCACTTAGAGAGAGTATATTAGTAACAAATCAGATTACGATATTCAAATCAAACAGCCAATGGGATAGAACATCGAAATAGACAGTAAAATTAAGCAAATTTACGGATTCCCATTCGTTGTATGAATACCTCAGTATGCCTTGGTTAGCTTTGTGAGATGGTCCCAGTTGGTGTATCTGCACTGTAAACAAAAAGAGAGAAATACGAAAATTACAAGGAAAATGAGAGTTAGCACATATGAGTGTTTAAATTTGACTAGTAATGAGTGAAATAACAGAATATTCTTTTATCAATAAGATCGGCTACAGTACTAACAATGTATAATGGTCAACAAAAATGACAGACATGTCACTCCATCCTGGCCAAAAACATTTGATTATATTCCATACCTGAATAGTCCTGATTGTCCAAACTGTTTCTAGAGATCAAGGCGGAAATGAGCGCGGGTGGCGCGACCAAATCTGCTGAACGTAATGTCTGTATCATTATCCGCATCGCTCTCCGGGTCGGTGTCGAATTCATCCTCTTGCTCGGGAAGGTCTGTCACGTCACCAACTGCGACAACTCCGAGCATGCTTTCGTCAACAAAGGTGATTCTCGGTACTTCGTTTGTAGCTCGTGGAATATTTGTATCCTGGTCGACTCGTTCTTCATTGTTTGTCCCTGGATCATCTCAAACATCCTCTTGGAATGTTACTCTAGTACACAATGGCGTGCTGGAATATACAGCTGGTCGATACCTGTTAACCAATTCCTTCATGGCTGCCTCAATGTTGGGGTCAACGTTATCAGCTGGAGGAGGTTTCATCAAATCTACGTCCCTTAACTCCACACTGGATTTAGGCACTGGATAATAAGACTTCTCAAGTGTGAAGTACTTCGCATCCCACTTCGTTGTTCTCTTTAAAGATTCCTTTGAAATTGTTCCAAAGTCTTAAGCATACTGAAGAGCGGTGAAAGTCTCGTTTTTGAAGTGGGAGACTGCATGAAGGTTCTCCACCTGAGTTGTTAGCAGCGTACGCAGGTCAGTGTCACCAAGACAGTCCTCGTTTACATTCTTAACGTTATCTCTTAGCTGTTCCATACCTCTTTCGAGAAGCACCAATGACTCCTGTGTTTTGCTGGAAACAGTTTCTTCAGGGCCATTTATTGTTGCCGTTTCTTTCATTTTATAGTCCTGCCTTACTTCAGCGACTGTTTTTTTAAAGCATTTACAGATGAAACATTGCACACAGCATCTTGAAGAGATAATTGGGCAGCGTCGATCGTATGTGCACCAATTCCAAAACTATCATAGAGAGATTCGAGGTTACGAAGAAAGGACACTGTGCCAGTAAGCCCCGAAACTAGTTTGATTGTTCCAGCAGCTATATCAGAAACAAAAAAAAAATTTCTACAAGGAACAGATTGCATGAACTTGTGTAAATGAGCAGCGTTCTTCAGTTCTATCAACGGTTCCTTCATGGCCAGTACCCAACAAGGTCTCGACTGTTGCACTTAAGTTACAAGTCTTAACCTTTTGATCTTTGTTGTCGGTGAAAGCAATGTTGCCCTCATAACCATACAGCCTCTTGATTTCCTTACAAGAATCTGAAGAATTCCGCAAGAGTCGCTCAAGAGTTTGAAAAGTACTTCGCCTTTCAATTCAATGAAACGGATTGCTGATGAGCCTCTCTCTGCAATGGAGACTACGCCATTGGTAAAGCATTGGTCCCGCGCATCTTTGAATACTTCCCTCCGAACATTTACACCGACTGGTCGGTGTAAACGCAGTTCTACGAGACTATCGAGAGTCGAAATCGTAGTGTAACGCCAGTACTTTGCTTTGGGGCCCAATTTCAAGTGCAATTGGTCTTTTGCAAACACTACTTTGGTTGGATTTCCAGAAGCGATACTTTTTAGGAACTATTGTGTGGATTATCAAACGTATCCCCTTAAGTACATCTAGTACTGAGGGTCTAGTAAGGCGCATTATCGGTTCTAAGGACAAGAGCATTTCAGCTTTGGCTCACTGTTCGCGAGTGATTTTCTTGATTTTCTTGCAGAATTTAAAAGAGCAGATAAAATTTGAAATCCTTAAAAAAAACTTTGGGGGTCTCCTTCCAAACACTAAACAGTATTTTTTTTCAAGAACAGTAAACATTAAAAAAAATGGCCAACACTAAAAAATATGGGCAAATAACACTAAACACTAAACCCCATTCAGACCCTCTTATTATCCCTCAAGTTTTTATCAGATTACATAAACTTAAGAGATT